AGGGGGAAGGTTTTTCCGTCATCGACATTGATGGAGATGAGCATCCCTGTGTGTGGGTAGAAATTTACGGAATTTCTATTACTGCCAATTAAACGTTGAGAATGATTCCCGCGTTGTATGTTCCGCGTTCCAATGAAGAGGAGACAACGTCTACAACACGATGACGTGATGATACTGTTCAAATTTACCGAGAGAAATGTGATTAAATCTTCACTTATAAATTGAAGGTCCACATAAATGAATCATAAAGTCCTAGAACATGTTGCTATACATAATTGTCTTTAAATATAAACTAAAATTTCAAAAATAGGAACATAGGGCGTGGTAAAATACTTGCATGGCTACTTCTAGGCCTTAACTTGGCCATATAGTCGACTTTTCTTAATTGATTTTAGTTTACATATTTTATTCATTCATGTTGATTAATTCCTCTCCCCCCTGAAATATTGAGGGAGGAGGGAGAGAGGGCAACAATATTATCGCCCCTCTGTGTTTTTATTGGGTGGATCTACTCTCACGCGTTTCCTTCCCGAAGTCTCGGTTTTTCTTCATGGCCCTGCAGGAGACCAAAAACATGCTTGAATTCAAAACTGCAGGAACAGCACTATCTCCACAAATTATGACCCACATAGATTTCCCATGTCTATTACCAATATTTTCGGAATGGTTATAAAATCCTGAATTCGATTAACTAAAATATTTTTATGTTGCAAATTACAAAATTGAGCAGGAGGAGGACGTGGAAGAGAAGACGAGCTGGGCGAGATTAAGAAGAGAGGATAAAGTGGGAGGCTAATGGCCGTGTAGGGCAGTGAGGGCCTCTGTAATTAGGAAGGGATCGATCAAACCCTTGGTCTTTGTCCTCTCCTGTCCTCCTTTTATTTTATCTTTCTGTCCGCTCCGTTTTGGCAACCATATTGTCGTCTTCTTCATTTATATATCGGATCGTAAGCATCCATGTCTTTGCTGGGCTACTTTAGTTCGTGTTCGTCGTCGGAGTACTGGTCCTTCCGTAATCAAGTGGTATCTTGATAGACAATAATTTGGGCAAGTTCCTAAACTGAGCGCTGAGCTTATCGATGACATCTTAAACTGGTCTGTTTCAATTCAAAGGTCTGTTTCACACACATGACGAGTAAAGGTGCGTCTGATCAAGAGATCAATATCCGAAGTTTATGTGAACAAATAAAAGAATGAATGACTCGAAAGAAATAGGCTTTATATTAACTATTTATTTTCTAAACAATTTAAAGAAAATTTATAAAACTTGCGAACGATTCGCACACTGTTTTGGTCAGTGGTCAAATGAAAACATAAAATAATGAAACGTATCATAAGTTGGAATATTCAATTTTCATTTTCTCAGTGATTATAATTGACCAAGAAAATGAAAATTCATTAAAAACTATTCAAATTTAAACGCACATGTTATCAAATTACAATAAGCTGATTCTTTGGAAATAATAGTCCAATGTCGATGATTTTGTTTTACTTTTTTAGGGAATTTAGTAATATTTTAAATAATTATGGGTGTAATAGGCAAAAAAGTGTATACGTTTTTAATTCCCAAATAAAGTTCATTTTCCTTCATTACATGTTACCTGAATTTTTAGAGTGTGGTGACTATTTTTCCCATCTTCAAAATAATGGCTCAATCTTGAGATTTGATGAAACATTAATTAAGATATGGCGTACCAGCTAAAAACACCTTTCATAAATAATATAAACTCCTTCTCTCTCTCGATGACATGTGACATGTATCACATGACAGCACTACAATTAACGTGAGGTTGTGTGGCTGCGAACCCTTCGCCTTGCATTATATCGAAAATGGTACTTTTTTGGAGTTGATGCAGGGACCGAGTCTTGATGTCGGCAGAAAAATCTTCAGATCCAAATACGTTCCGCCTCGATCAAGGATTATCTTCGACTTTCACCATTAAAACGTCATTCGTCCGTCTAACGTTGTTGGTCTTCCTGATCGATGCGAGACGCAAAGATTAAAATTACCGCATTTCAACTTGAAAAACCACCTTTGCCATTTATGAACGTCTATTGCATCAGGATAAACATCGCAAATGTTTTTGATAATAAGTGTTGCGTTACTAACCTAATCAAACTAAAAAAACATGCAATGTCGGATATGTACCTCTTCTGCTATTAGTCTGGCCACTTTATCAAAAATTGCAAAAAAAAATGTAATTAAATTTCATAGGCATTTATATATAATTTTATAATTATATATAATTTATAGGCATAAAAAACAATTAATTTTTGCAACCAAAGAAGTCACTCTAACATTAGAATGTCTTTACCACGACATAGATACACCCAAAGAGCTGAAAAATGACATTACCTTCTGGTCTCCCTAATAGGTAATGGAAAATAATAATAATACTGATTTTAAGGCATTTATATTAGAAGATCTGCCAACTAGATTTTAAAGTCAATCCTATTTTTTTTATTTCTTTAACAATGCACTGTGGAGACGCTAATGCTTCTAAGATAGCGATGTGTCATCTCATAAACTCGTACATATTATCTAATTTTGTGATCAATGATAATAAAATAAAGAATGACAAATAAATAAACGATAAACGAAGAATATGGAAGATATGGACTCTATTACACTTAGTTATAGAGAACTAAGAAGAAAAACAGCTTGATCCTGCCATAGTTACCGTTATGGAGAGAAAAGGATGGGCTAGGAAATGGCTGAGGGTGGAATGGGGCAGGCAGAGCAAATAACGACTCTCCTATGAGATGGAGATGAGCCTTGTTTATCCACACCGACATGAATTATTTAGGCTTCAAATCCATTCCCAACCTCATCCTTAGGCAATCTCCTCTCGCCCTTCCAATACATACATATTTTAATTCATCTGTTAGCTTTCTCTTTAGGGTTAATACATGATCCAACTAATTGAATAGCATTCGTGATGCTTTTTGTGCCAAAATCTGTACCCTCTGTACCAAAATTAAAAATCAGTAAAATACTGTTTATTCAGACGGGACCCTTCCCGAATCACCACATTTACGTATTAATCGGATTTTCTAAAAACAAATTACATGATAAGTAAGTATGTTAACGATTTACTTTCTCATAGACTTTTTTCTTCGGCCTTATTTTAGTTTTAATTCTACATAATTGATAGGATAATTTGTGGTAGTTATAAAGAAACTTAACTAAGATGACAGATTATTAGGGGTCATTATTCTGATAAAAACAATTTTTTTTTAATCCCACATTTTCCTCAATTATTTTCAAGTTTCTTTTCAAAATGTTTATGTAAATATGTTTATTCTCTATACCATGTGAATATTCTGACTATAAACTGAAGATTTCCGACACTAGAAGCCACTATGCATTCCCACACCAAGAAACATAACATAAGAGAAGAGCATACTCGTAAAACATAACATAACATAAGAACAAGATAAAGAACATAAGAAAAGAGCGCTTTACTAAGATGTTTATTGATAACAATAAATTATTGTTTTTAATGTAATATAATTTGAACTATTTATTTATCCAATAATTTCTGTCAATATCCACGTGTATCATTTTCACTGTAAATCACTGTATGTATATACCTAGTATTGTTACAAGGAAATATATACAGATTTCAAAAGAAAAATTATTTTTTTCAAAAACGTTATTAGAAAATTAAATGTATATCTACAGAGAGTAAAAGAAAAATAAATTACTCAAAATGTTTCTCTTCTGCCTTGACATAGGTAATTAATCTCCGTGGCCGGTCATCAATAGCATCATTTCTTGAGCGCTCAACTGCTCGGCCCAGAGATTGTTTGAGGCTTCCCATGTTAGGGTGTGCTCTGTGGCATACCATCCTCTCCAATTCGGACCAAAGCCGATAATCTAGTGGGTTGAGATCAGGGCTTCCTGAGGACCAATCCGAGGCAGAGATGAACTCTGGAATGTTCTTTTGCAGCCACTGCTGAGTTGACCTGGCCTTGTGAGCTGGAGCGGAATCCTCCTGGAAAACCCAATGACTTCCAGCAGAGTATCATTTAGAGGCTTGACAACAGGTCCCAAAATGTCATTCGGTTAGTTTTAGCGGCTGTTTTAACTCCTTTTTCACAAAAATGGATCTTTGTAGTGCCATCAAAGCAAACTTCCCTCCAAACCATCACTGAGGGAGAGTGATGACCTCTTTCCACTCCTCCATTGACTTGCTGGGATTCTTTAGAGCAGTGTGAGTACACACGATCATTTTGGCGATTACATTTTTCTTCAATTGTAAAATTTTTCTCATAGTTAAACAAAATCATTCGATGAAGACCATTGGTGTAACGGCCAAGGATCACTTTGCATCTATCCACTCTATTTTTTTTTTTTTTTTAGGGAAGTGGTTACCCTTTTTCCTGACATTCTTCGAGATGCAGCCATCCTAAGGTTACTTTTTATTATGCGAGAAATTGATCTGACCGAGATTCTTATTTCTCGTGGCACATTTGTTGTTTTCGAACGAGATTTTTTCTGATTCGAGCCATTTGCCGTTCTCACAGTGCGGGGACTGATCGAGGTCTGTCACATACAGATATGGTCTCATTATATCTATTTATAGTGCGGTCCTCGATACCCAAAGGATTCAAACTGTTTAAAATCTCTGACCTACATTTTCCAACTTTGCGTAAGGCGATCACAACTATTCGGTTTTCTTTATCACCCCACTCCATGTTAACTGAGCGAAAGAAAAATTCAAACTAATTGAGATTATTATCCTCACATGTAAAGAAAATAATCTGATAGAGGTAAGGATTATCTAAATGATACCCAAGGATGTAAACAAAGTTCAACTTTTGTAACAGTATTTATGGCACAACTAGTTATTATGTGAATGTTAAGGAAGATTAGATAAAATCAGGTTTCATTAATGGCACTGTAAATCATTCAGAATATAATTATAAAGGCCAGGGTAAAAAATAGCTGACGGTTATTAAGTAAAGAAAGACTTTGATAAATATTTAAAATAAATTTAAATAAAAAATATCTGTTTACTATTGAATCGTAATTTTATATTCATCGCAGTTCTGAATGAAAGTCCCCAGGCCTCAGTTTCACCTTTGATTCCTCTTGGATTTTAAGGGCTTTCATGTAGTTCGATTTTATTTTGTTCTTCAGATCGTCATTCTCATTTCCTAAATGGAATCTGTCCTCACTGAAATTTGACGAGTATCATTTTAAATATAGGTAGATAGATAGAAAATAAACTTTATTCTGGGACAATAATAGTAATTGTTGTAGTAATTCTTAACAATTATAAACAAAAAACATATATCTGGCCAAAAACTACCTTAATTAAAAATAAACAATATCTTCAGTGACAATATATAAACAACAAAAAGCAAAAACATTTTGAAAAAAAAAATAATATCAATGTTAAAATGGAAAGAAAAAACAGAAAAAAAACGTTATACATGTTATTAACACTATGAGTTGATTCTTAAAATTAAAACTTAAACAATTTCAACAACCATTCATTTCATTCAAAATTCGATTCATTAAATTTATTTCATGATTGCACAGCGTCATTTTGTGATGTGAGATGGAATTGGTACAGATGGTTTTTGAATGAGCACAAGGAAGAGGTATGGCGGATATCAGATGGTATAGAATTCCAGAAGGCAGTGGATCGGGTAATAAAGGAATGTTCAAATGTTTTAGTTCTGTGGGAAGGAGTATAAAGGTCGGAAACACGGGATCTTATTTTCTTGGCGTGGACCATGGGTTTGAACTGTAGGAGACTGTAGATGTAGGAAGAATGTCGGGTGTTCATTGTTGGGAATAGGAAAGATCCAAAGAAATATTGTCGGCGGAAAGAACGGAAGAGCCACTTTAACTCGTCGTAAAAGTGGGGCACATGAGACCGCCTCGATGTACCGAAGACAAATGTTAAGCAGGAATTCATAAGTCCTGAATATTAGTGGAGGGGCGGGGTGGCCGAATGGGCTAACGTGTGTGCACAGCACCGCGAGTTGCTCGGCAACCAGATAAGCAACTTTTGAGATTGAAAAAAAACTATGAGTTCGCGTTCTGGTGACAAAGGGGATTTTAAATTCCCCGCCTTCACGGCCCGAGAAAATACCATATAGCCTAAAATGGGGAGGTAGGAAAGAACAGAAAAAAAAGTCCTGAATATTAAGTAAAAAAGGTATTCATAAAATATACTTAATATAACGGATCTTAAAAATGAGATGATCCACTAATGATATAGAGTAAATATAAATTAGTTAGTTTTATGATAAGTTGAAGGTTATTATTAGATTATTATAAACTCCTGGTATGTATTACGTATTTATAGCTGTTATTATCATATTTGAAACTCGATACTCAAGAACATTATAGATATACTTCTTGCGTTGTGTGAATACTTAAGTACGAACACGCAATATTCTGTTTAGATTATAAATATTACTCACCTGAATTGAGCTTCTGGAAAATTAATTGCAGAAGAGAAGAAGATACATACTGAGAACAATACAGTAAAAGTTAGATAATTCATATTGCGCTATGCATTAGCAAATGGAAATTGACGCATAATATGATCACATGAAACAACTAACACGTGACCAATCGACAATAATTAATCATTTTTAATAACTTGAAAATATTTCTCTATAATAAAAAAGCCACTTCGGATCAGTTGTCAGTGTGAATGATGTATTTCTAGCAAAAAAATATTATTATAATTTTTTTTATTTACCAGACAAGATATGGTAACTAGCAGAGGAAGCTATGGTATGCATTAGTGGATTCAGAATTTAATTTTGAGGACTAAACTTTTTGAAGTATAAACTTCTTTAGGAGCGTTTTGCACTTTTTTTTTTGGAGAGTGAATTAGATTGAGCCGTCAAATGTCCGATGTGTAACGCTCGGGTAAAGTCGTTTGGAGTCGACTAATGAAGTGTTTTTGTATATGGATAAAAATATCTTAGAATCTAAAAATCGGACCTGCATACTGTAATTTATGGAAATGTTCAGCATTTAATTCTCTTTAATTATAATGAGCTATTATTTATAATTTATATTTCTTATTATTAATCTCGCCTTTTTACTTTTACCATGTAGTCTAAAGCACACACCTTAGTTCTTTTTTTTAATAACAGAAGCCTTCTTACATTTTGTAGCTGACAACGTTATCATTTAACGCTATTAAATTTCTCTCCGACTTAAATTCCTATTCGATTATTCACTCAGATTACTCATGGAAATTTAAATATTTTTTTTTCTGAGAATGAGCTTCAGAGGAATGACCTCCTTCTCCTCGAATCTACTAGTGATGATATGTGTGATACAGAACATAATGGGAATGGGGCGGTTGAAGAGGTTAGGGGGGTGTGGTGGCCGAATGGGCTAAAGCGTGTGCAAAGCACCGCGAGTTGCCTGGCAACCGGAGAACAAGATTTGTGATGATTTAAAAAAAAAGTACGAGTTCACGTCCAGGTGCCGGAGGGGATTTTAAATGCCCCACCCTCACCCTCCGGTCCGGGAAAATCCCGTATAGCCTAAAAGGCGAGGTAGGGAACAAAAAAAAAAAAGGTTGAAGAGGTTGAGAGGTTGTGATGGCCAAGCTTGTTAAGAAAAGACCAACTTATACGCTTTAGAAAAATTAAAAGTTCTAATGTTCTCGAGTTTAGATGTAACGGTTCGAATCCAGCCTGGGCGGGTTAAAAATGTATTTCGTGGTGGATCCAGTCAATCGGTGCCGGCTTTAGACATTTGGCACGACGGGACAATGATGTCACTTATTCCATTAATACTTGTGTAGAAAGATGCATAGTTTGCTGTTAGTATCATTAGTATGATACTCATCTTCAATTCTACTAGTGATGTTTTGTCAAAGACTTGTATACTAAAATTTCAATTTTTTGTTTTGTATTTCGCAAACGATATTATGGTACTTCATAATACAACAGCTGGTATGATAAAAAATATTAATAATGATTTTGTCAACGTTGATTTTAAAAGGGATATGATGGAAAACAGTCAGGATGGACGATAGTATTTGTAGGATATTGATCGTGTATTAAAAACAGAAGACAAGAATTAGGAAGAGGCCATAATGGTTAATTTATGCGAAGCGATATGAGGAACCCCTGCGCTTAACGATACGAGGAGCTGTTGCCCGAATAGCAATGCCCCCTCAGGTCCTTGCCAAAATCTTCGCGTCCGGCCCTAACCTAAAAGGTAAGCTGTTTGGTTAAGAACGATAACAACTACCAAAGTAGATAATATTTATCGTCAAGATATCGTCGGAACCATGTTAAAGTAACGAATGTAAGCCTGTTTAACGTTGCAAATTCGTCAATTTAGCATGGTGCAGACGACATAACTAAATTTAACCAGAAATTCTATATAACTAGACTTGGAGACGTATCGGATATTGTTAGGTAAAGATCTCAAATGAAGCATGATTAGAATGTCTTGCACATTTCTACTTTAATAGAAGTGAAAACATCAACAAGGCGAGATTAATGATATGAAATATAAACTATAAATAATAGCTCATTATGAAGAGGATAAAATGCTGAACATCTCCCTCGCTTACAGTATGCATGCAGATCAGATCTTTAATTTCTGATAGATATTTAAATCCATATCTTCCATAAAACTCGTTATAATACAGCTGCGTTCAGATAATTGGAAAGAAATAGCGCAAGACTAGCAGAGATGAAGAGGGCTTGTTAAGACCACAAGGTCTGTAATGACAAAAAAAATCTTACATAAACATAAAACTGGTTATCATTTGGAAGTAGTGTTGGTTGGTGTGATGGTAGAGAAAATGAATGCGTAACACCAAAAAGTATTATATTATATTATTAAATAAATATGACAATAATTGTAATTTTTGACAATTGGTGCCATATTAAAAAATCAAGTAAATATAAAGAATTCTCTGAGGGTGGGAAAATTGTCCCGAAAAGTGAGATGTAATAGATGTGATTAAAAAAGACTAAAGAAAAATGGAAGTTTAATTGCCTTAACCTTATATATATATATAAAATTGATAAATAAAATTATTATAACTATTGATTAAAGCAACTTTGCCAGCAGTGCTTCATCCCCTTCATTACGAAAAATACAACACTACTCGACTTTCAGGAAGGTGCCATCTTCCATTTGGAACGTATCCAAATCGTCTTCCCTAACTTTACTCGAACATATTCTTTCTAATTTTTTTTTTAATACAACTTATGAGGTATTGATTTTTCAGAGGTGTCCTATATCATCCTCATCCATTTACTTGTGATATAATTACGTTCTAATTTCAATGCGAAGAGACATTACGTGGACGAATTCTTCATTGACAAATTCTGTCCTGACCGTGAATAATACAGTTTTAAAATTATTATGAATACCTTCACCTTAAACCTATGACTTTCTGTCCTACAGTATCGTTTAACGATTCCCTACTTATCCGTGTTGAACAAATCCGATACATAGGACTCCATTTGGATAAACGACTCACTTGGAATCCTCCTAGAAGACTGAAACGAATAGAAACTGCTCGACGTTCCCGACTACTTCGACACCTAGTTACTAGACAAACGCTCTAAACTTTCAATATATTACAAAAGACTCATATACATGACTATAATAAGGCCAATTTGGACTTAGCGTAAAGCTTTAGGGCTCCACTAAACCATCGAATTCCAAAATCCTTCGTAAAATCCTCAATGCTCCTTACTTTGTCACAAATAAAATCATCCATAACGACCTTATCGTATGTTTCCTATTTAGTCCAATCCAGATAACTATCCTTTCATACGAAACTTCGAAGCCATCCTAACCGTCTCGTTTCAAATCTTGCTTTCTGTTAACCTGATAACCCTCCAAGGCGTCTGAAAAGAAGATGGTTCCGTGGTCTACTTATGTAAATATATTATTAGAATGATACCAATGGGTATTTTCTTAACAAGCGTTTTCGTGTGATTGTATCATTCCCGTGTTCACATTTACTAGATGTATTATAATTTAATAAAATTGGAAGTATCATGAATAAAAAAAAAAAAAAAAAATGAACAAGTGTTTTTCAATAAGCTGTTATGAAAACTTAGAGGTTAAGACTAAGTAGAATGATTTTATCACTGAGCAAGATGCAGCAAGCGATGGATATATACCTCAAGGGACTGAGAGAAAGTCATCATAAAATCTCACCATGTTGTGTTGGTTCATTCAAAGCGTTGCCTTGCAGCATGAAGGCACAGACATCAGCTGTAAATACAGCAATAAAAAGATTCGGTTTTGATCCAAAGACTGAAGAGAAGTACAGAATCCATCAAGAATGTGATTATAAATTTTATAGGCATTGGTAAAAAAAAAAAAAAAAAAAATGTTGATTTAACGCCAGTCAAACAATAATTTAGTTTTGTAATTAACCTTACCTCACAATTAACTCTGCGGTCTATAAAATTGTGTTGTCGGTTCCATTTACCTTGAAATGAATTTTTATTCGCATTTTCTCTATAATTAGACCATTGCAATACATCGAAGGTCAAGGGAGAGTGGTGCGGACACCAGAACACCTGGAAAAGGATTATATATATATATATATATATATATATATATATATATATATATATATATATATATATATCTAATCCTTTTGTCGTGATTGTGAGATGGTCTCTATAATTAGACCATTGCATTACATCGAAGGTCAAGGGAGAGTGGTGCGGACACCAAAACACCTGGAAAAGGATTATATATATATTTTTTTTGTTCGCAACATTTCGACATATACTGCGAGGTCCTTCGGGTGAACTTATCTGAAAATATTTATACAGAGCTGTTTCCTATACAAAATAATATAGTACAGGTTTGTTTAAATTTCGACATTTTCAAGTAGTTTTCGCGCTTTTTCTATGTTTTAACGTTAACATCTCTACAACACTATCCCTCTACTATATATACCACTACAGCACATCTAAAATGGGTTGAAATTTTGAACGTAATTTTGTCATAATTACCTTTTAGTGATCTCAATTTATCCCCTCAAAGACCCGCCATTTTCCTCGCGTATATGGTATTGCGACCATCAACAGCCATTACTAATTGCTTTGTTGAACTGAAAATTTGTATCTGAATCGGGCTGAAGTTCACTGAGTTGATGTTAGGAAAGTGCCTTTTGGAGTTCTCAAAATTTTCTCTCACATCTATTTTGATAATTAAAATTCGAAAAAAAAATTATAACATGTTCAAAAACAGAAAATAGAAATCGAGTAATTCAATTGATGTTTACTGTTATATTTAATTTATTCAAGGAAGCATTACTGGAATAATAAGGTCACTTTCGTCCTGCCAATGACGCGAGGGGGTGAAAAAACAAAACAAAAAAATTAAAAAAAGTTTTCCTGAAAAATACAAGAGGAAAAGACAACTTCAGTGATCTGCTGCTCACTTATCTTATCATGACATCGATTTATTTAAAAACTGACACAATGGTTAGGAGTTTTTCGATGCAGAACATTAAAAATAAGCTAGCATAACATTTTTAATCCAGGAAATAGTAACATAAAATTGATTGGTAAATCCTACTTCAAGAGTTCATTAAGAAGTATCATTTTTATAATATACTTTTATGTCTTGCTGTTAACATGTCTTTATGTGAATATGCTATTACACAATAACATATACTGTTATTAATATGTTCTTAATTTAATAAGTAAATTACCTCAAAAAAGGTAGTAATAAATTAATAAAAATCAGTAAAAAAACTCACCAAGGGACAGAACATTAATGTTAGGTTATAATAGGGAAAATTCCAACCTCACAGCCTTAAATTTCCAAAATGCAGACAATTAATAAAAACACCGTCAATGTATCGCCGATTCAATTATATATAAGAAGAGAAAAAATAAAATCGGACATCACTCTACGAACATCTCAATCGCATACTGGAAGGAAGGTAAGGTAACACAGTTAAGGAAGGTTATAATCAAACAGCTGGTTAAGGAAAAAAAAGAATATAAGGACTGATTAAAAACATACAAACTACATAAATATATTACAAAAAAAAATTAAAAATTATGAATTATAATAATAGGAGAAAAAAAGTATACATATATCTGAAAACCCACCAAAAACAGCTGAAAATAATAAACGAAAACAAATAAGCTACATTTATATCCAAGATGCTCAATATTTCCGTGTAAATATTATTTTTCTAAAAAAAAAAAAGTAAAAGTTATTTCTATTGTCTGTAAGTTTTTGTTTTTTTTATCTTCATTTGCGTAATCAACTGTTTTTGATGATAATCTTCTTTTGGTGTGCGTTTTCATGTATATGTATATATTTTTTCTCTTATTATTATAATTATACCTTTTACTTTGTAATTTTTGAATTTTTTCGTAACATATTTATGAATTTTGGTTGGATACTGCATGTTTTGTATCAGTATTTTTTTTTCTGATCAGCTGTTTGATTATAACCTTCGTTAGCCGTTTAACCTTACCTCCCTTCCAGTATGCGATTGGGAATCAAGGAGTGATGTTCGATTTGTTTTTCAATAATGTCCTGATGATGCCTGAATTGTTGAAACGTTGAAAGGTTTTTTATTCTTTGCTTGAATTTCGGAGATATAAGGCTACGTGGTTGGAGTTTTTCTAATTATCACCTAACGTTGTAATAAATATAAATGAACTCCAGTCCTTTTTTTGTGGATTGTGCACCAAATCTTATTTTATATGAACTGCTCGGCTATTATTATGGGTGTGTACCATACTCTACACTGGCAATCTATGATATTCTGTGATAAGTAGTATCCCATTTGGAATGGTTAGGGGAAGCAATGATGTCACATATTTAAAAAATGCTACCTTTTTAATTAAATCTTGTAATGCGAGTGAAATATTTTATATTAAAAGTATCAAAGTATACATAGTGATTTAAAACTACCCAAAAAAAAGTCGATAAATAATTAAAAAATATACAATATCATTGTGAGACTATACAATCTTAATACAATAAAATAAATATACATTGTTAGGTTATAATTGGAAAAATCCAAACACAGCCTAAGGTCACCAAAATGCAGATGAAAATTAAAACTCATCAACGTTTCGCAAATTCAGGCATCTTCAAGATAGAAAAGAAAGCAAGCAAATCGAAAATCATACTTCATGGCATCCAATTGCATAACGGCTTGTACCAGCACCTGTACCATTAATAACAGTATGCTTAATTAACAGCACCTGCATTTGGAGACATTAGGTTATGTGTTTGGAATTTTTTCAATTATAACCTAACATTGGATTTCTGTCTCTTGGTGGCACAATATATTGTAACATTGTGCTAACTGAAACAATGACTCAAAGACTTAAGGTGACAATTACTCTGGATGATGAGTCAAGTGTTAATATTGTGAGAAAATAATTAATTAAACTGATCAAATGACTAGCCAAATGCTAACTTAACTGATTCAGTTTAAGACATTCGCTAGTTCACCGTCAACCACAGATGCAATTAACTAACAAAGCCCAAAGATTTCCACTTCGACCTTTGACCTATCCTGATAGAATTCCACATCATTGTTCATCAAAATCAGGATATTCCGGAATGTACTGCCTTTTAAATTAGTTAGTTAAAGGAGTGTATTTTAAAAATGAAGTATACTTTGAAAAAATAAAAATATTTGTTTCTTAACTTTTAATAAACAATGCTCCGGTCTTTGAAAGTGTTACATCTTCTAGACAAGTGTTCTCATTTGTGTTTTGTGTTATTACAATAGATTATTAAATGTTATTGTATCAGTTATATTTAAAAATAAATATTATATATTTTTTTTAATTTCTTTATTGAGTATTATAACAATCTGTCTCTTGGACGTTGGTTATAGTGAGGAATTTATATAATTAAAATAGAATAATATAATATTCATGCACATATCATTTATAAAAATATAACATTGTATAAAATATATTTACTATAACATATTAAATATTTATTATCAAAGTCGAATTAGATTTAGTCACTAAAGAATAAATAAATAAGATTTTTTTAAACACTAAATTTAACTTTTACATTAATTTCAAATCATCGTAACTGGAGATATCATGTTTATAAAATGGACCTGCAAAAGCTAACCATCATGCCCTCGGGCTATATCATTACTGGAATTTCTGGAATGATTGGAAATTCAGAGGTGGGTCAGGGATGGTATGAAAACGGAATATCTGTGGGAGGGAGGACATGGTTTCATGTTTTCCATAGAGCTTTTCTAAATGCAAATGCTAAGAGAGAAAACCTTCAGAAATTTGTTATTACATTTTTCTGGGGGTGGAAGAAATAATTAGTTTGTCTTATGAACTATGCTCAATACAGTTTGAGAGTCCAGAAAATATGAGAAAAATGTTTAGTATTTAATTTTTAATACACAGTATCCTTGATGAATGCGGTCAAAATCATAAAATCACACCTAAGATATCCTTTGATAATATTCCATTCATTGTTATTACTGATCTAGTATTCCTCTTTTTACTAAAAGGTTTTCGGGATATCGCTAAATGTAGTGGATCTTCGACTTCAACACATTATCACAGTTTGGTGTCGCCTTATTTTTATTAATTTTAAGAATTGATAATACTCAATTCTTTCCAAATATATTGCAATGGAGGCGAACAACGGTTTTACAGAAATTTTTAGGTGGATTAAATAGTGGTCTCTCCCATTGCTTTGAGACTCCCAGTCATATAAATTCTGCCATTCATTAACGATTGTTTTACTTAGTAAACGGAATCTTTAAGGTTGAAGTTTCCCTCTCGAATTTTTTAAATCATCATGTTTCACGAATGTTTCACTCATTCAGTCATACTGCCATCGCTCCAGACTTTATTAAAATTTCAGGCCTTTTGAGCTCCGTTCCGACCGAGTCAACACTTTAAAACGAAATTATGAGAAAAATCATGTTTTGGAATCAAAGCAAAAGCTGAATTATTTTCAACTAGCGAAATGCTTTAGAAGATGAAAAATCATTTTTATTTAGAAGAGTAATTATAAGCATTTACAACCATACAAAAAGATAATCACTCAAACGTAAATAGTTTGTAAAAGAGGGTTTTATATAAAGAGTACAAGATATCCCGCATTAATAGGGTATATAAAAAAAATGACCGTTATTCAATAAAATATGATTATTATTATTTCTTCGATATAAAATACAATTAATACTCAAAGTATAGTCCATTGTTATCTACCATAATTAGCCATCTGCTCGATCCCACGCTGATACCATTCTTTGGGATGGCTGTCAAAGAACTCCTGGACCACAATTTCAACTTCTGCAAAATTATCTATCCGATGGTGCGAGGTCTGGACTATATGGTGATTGAGGCATAACTTTTTCAGGCTTGGATTTTACAATAAATTTTCACAAATGTCTAACTTCTTAGCTGATTGAGGAGTAAGTACGTGAGGGACCAGTCTACTTCTCTTTTTCACCTTCCCATTGAGAATACATGGCGACTAACAGTATCTTTCGACATATCACTCTCCCTGGCAAGTTCGTGAGTACTTTTGGAAGGATTTGACTAAATAGCTTCCTGCAGAACCTCATTAATATCCATTAATGATCACTTCGAGCCCTTCTTCCTTTCCAACGTCGTACCTATACTGCTAATTTTTTCACACCTACGCTGTGCAATGCGCTGGTCAAGGACACCTTCCCCTTCATATTTAATAATTTCACGAGTTGCTTCATAATTCATAATTTCACGATTTTTTTTATCATATTTTTCTTTGACACAAATCACTGAACTGAGGTTTTTTTTTAAGAAGTCGAATTAAAACAAGCTTACAGAATGCTCTAAGGGAATATGTAAGTATTGGTAAGTATTAAATAGGGTTGAAATATTTACAGTACTTTGAAAACTTTAATTTGATAAAACGGTCGTTTTTTTGGTACATCCTATTATTTTCTGGACAACCCAATATGATTATTGTAAGACAAATAGCAAAAGTAATTCTCTTAAAAGTAAACAAATATTGTAAATGCCAGACCTGCTCGTGAGGGAGATGAATCAGGTGCTATTTCGCGAAAGCAGCAATTTAAAACACCCCATTCCCCCCTTCCCACCAAGGTAGTTTTAATTAAAACCGGCCTTGATGAAACACCTACACCTCGTCACTTGGATCTCATTAAAATGGAATAACAAACACATCGCTGCGGTTTGTCGGTTTACCTTGTCACTGCCCGGCGAGCTGTCCCCATCGCTGGAATATTAACTCAAATTTCCAAAAAGGTTCCAGAACACGCAGTAATCAGATCCCAGGATGTTAATATGCTCCGAAAATCGGTTTAAGTGCCAAGGTTTATTTCAAATCATCACATCCACAACAACTTGAACATTCCATTCATACACACGTAAGAGATTAATTTTTTGGGAAATAGTATATCGGCAATATCATCTATGGCCTAGCGATTATGTTTTACGATAGTGACGGCTATTGAGACTACCGATTTTATCCTTACTTTCCTACCGCTACTAGGTAAGGAAGGAATTGCGATCGGGTCAAATTTCCGAATTGTTCAACAGATCTTTAAAGCTCCAGAGCTCCCGAAAAAATCCGAAAAACACATCTGCAGCGTATTTACAGAAATGTAATGATCCGTTGAGCAATTCGGAAATTTAACCCGATCGTAATTAGTGTTGTCCAAAATCGATCTTGGTCTTGCACTTTGCAAGACCAAAACAAAGACTGATAAAAAAAACACCGTTTTTAAAAATAAAAATTAAGGAAAAATAGTTACTAATACTTGACAGTTTTAGTTACTATAAGGAAAGAATTGGTATAACTATCCTTAGGATCGGGCAAACGACAAAGAAATAGTAGATGTCTTCAGGGGAGTTCATATTACATAGAGAGCACGTGTAAATTCTACCGCGTCTCCAGCGTTGACAGTTCAAATTTAGAAGTTTTAGATTTGGCACTCAATATTCATAAAAC